CCATCACCTACAGAGAGATTAACCTGGAGAAGAGTCCCCTAAGCAAGCTGGTCCTGGAGCTCTGTTCACAAACACAAACAGACCCCACAGAGCCCCAGGACAACAACACATTTAGACCCAACCAAATCATGAGAAAACAAAAATATAATTACTTGACACATTGGAAATAATTAACAAAAAAACAGAGCAAACTAGAATGCTATTTGGCACTAAACAGAGAGTACACAGTGGCAGAATACCTGACCACTGTGACTGACCCAAACTTAAGGAAAGCTTTGACTATGTACAGACTCAGTGAGCATAGCCTTGCTATTGAGAAAGGCCGCCGTAGGCAGACCTGGCTCTCAAAAGAAGACAGGCTATGTGCACACTGCCCATAAAATGAGGTGGAAACTGAGCTGCACTTCCTAACCTAAAGGGGAGGCGAGCCGAACACAGATAAATGCTCTTCCTGATCACAGCTCATCGATTATTAATGCCTGCTAGAGATCACGGGTGCTTAGGGAGGGTGTGTTTGTGTGCGTGCATGTGTATATGTGTGTGCGTGTGTGCATAAATACAGTATGTGTGTGTGTACGTGCGTGCATACCGTATATGAATGTGTGTGTGTACACTCCTCTCACACTCCTCTCCCCTCTCTCTGTTTGTGAAGGCAGCCACTGTTCCGTCGGCCCAGTGTCTGCGCCTGATGGAGTTCAGTTTCAGTGACTTTGAGCTGTCCGACGCTGAGACCACTCAGGCCACCATACGCATGTTCGTGGACCTCAACCTGGTCCAGAACTTCCAGATTAAATACAAGGTAGGAGTGTGAGTGAGTGAGTGAGTGAGTGAGTGTGTGTGTGTGTGTGCGTGTGTGCACATGCCTGTATGCATGTGTGTACATAGGTGTGTGTATATGTGTGTTTGTACATCCATAACACAGCCCACCACCTTCTAAATCAGGGTAACCCAACTGGCGGCCTGCGGCACAAACCACAGTGGCCTTGTCATGCATTAGTCACAATAGATGACTGATGACATTATAGCCTATAGAATGCATCAGTCACAATAGATGACTGATGACATTATAGCCTATAGAATGCATCAGTCACAATAGATGACTGATGACATCATAGCCTATAGAATGCGAAGGACTTTGAGGTTCAGAAAAGGGCAAAATGAATGTCAATCATTATTATCAAATCATTATTGAACAAATGTGTGAGTCACTATGCATTGGCTAATAGGGAGTTGATTGGAAGCTTATGCCGGTAAATGGATCGACATGGAAAGATTGGATGAACAGAATCCAGTGATTTGATTAGCAGGGTGGTCAAAGTTTTCCCTATAACACCAATCAGATTGCCAGGCTGGCCAATATTAAGCTCTACTGCTTGAGGATGTACAGATACAATTAAAGTCACTGTCATTCTGTCTGTTTTCTATTTTGTTGTTGTTTAAACTTTTCCCTCTCTCTTGCTGTCCGTTTTTGCCCCCTCCTCCCACCTCCTCCTCCCCTCCTCCTCCCACCTCCTCCTCCTCCTCCTCCTCATTTCACCCTCTTTCTCCCCACTTTTTCTTGTCTATCTCCTACTGTGTTCCTTCATATCCCCCCCTCTCCCCCCTGCCTCCGTTCCCCCCCCCCCCCCCCCCCCCCCCCCCCCCCCCCACCTCTCTCTCCCCCCCTTTCTCCCTTCGTTCCCCCCTTTCTCTCTCTCTGTAGAGTCTGTGCCAGTGGATCCTGAGTGTTAAGAAGAACTATAGGAAGAACGTGGCCTACCACAACTGGAGACATGCCTTCAACACCTCCCAGTGCATGTTCGCCCTGCTCAAATCTGGCCGGTTACAGGTGAGTTCAGCCAATCAATGGCCAGCATGGCAGGAGTGCCGGGTCACTTCGTCCAATCAATAAATAATCAATCCCAGCAGGAAGTCTTATTTGTGTCAGTCCGACCAATGGCTAATGAGTCACCATGCTGTAACTGTGCCGTTACCGGGTCAGTCCGACCACTATGTTCTGTCAAGTCAACATTCGCTTCCATTTACCTTAATATTTAAAATGTCTAAATACCAAATATATTACTCTGCCATCTGAGTTGGAAGTTATCAGATGTAATATGATATATGAAGAATATCATTATCATAAATAGTAAGTCAAAGACACTTGAACAGACAAGTACTGTATCTCAGACAGAAACAGAACTCAACGTATCCCAAACACACAGTTCCAGTCCAACCCAGTTCTAGTCCATAACCCTTGGTGCTCACACCCAGCTCTGTTCTGATGTGACTACATGTACTCCTTCTGTTAGGTTAAAGGTTACACTCCAGGTGTTGCTAACAAATGGCTGTTAAGTTCATGTGTAAGCTTCTCTCTCAAGGAAGAAATTAACAAACACCCCCCCCTTTTGGAAAGATGGGAAGGGGTTTCGCTCTCCCCTCCTCTCCTCTCTTTCCCCTCTCCCCCCCCAGTTTTAAAAAAATTTTTTTCCCCCCCCCCCCCGGACCCGGGTTTTCCCCCCCTCTTCCCCCCTTTTTCCCCCCCTCCCCCTCCCGCCGCCCCCCCCTTTTTTCCTTCCCCTTTTTACCTTTTCCCCCAAACCCCCCCCCCCCCCCCCCCTTTTTCCCCAAAAAAATTTTTAAAACCCCCGGGGGAAAAATTCCCCCCTTTTTCCCCCCCCACCCCCCCCGGGTTTCCCCCCCCGGGGGGGGGCCCCCGGGGGTTTTTTAACCCAAAAACCCCCCCCCCCTTTTTTTCCCCCGGGCCCCCCCCTTTTCCCCTTTCCCCAAAACTTTCCCCCCCGGGGGGGGGCCTAACCCCTTAAATCTTTCCTTTCCCTTTCCTCTTCCCCTCTCCTCCCCCTTTCCCTTTCCCCTCGTCTTCCCCTCTCTTCCCCCCTCCTCCCCCTTCCCCTTTTCCCCCCCCCTTTTTTTCCCCCCCCTTTTTTCCCCCCCCTTTGGGGCCCCAAACTTCCCCCCCTCTGTCTTCGGGCCCCCCCGCCCCGCCCCGGGGGGAACCCCTTCATTTCCCCCCCTTCCAAACCCTTTCCCCTCTCTCCCCCCTTTCCCTTCCCCTCCTCCTCCTCCCCCTTCCCCTTCTTTTTTTCCCCTTTCCCCTTTCCCCCTCCCTTCCCTCTTCGTCCTTTTTTTTTTTTTCCCCTTTCTTTTTCTTTTCTTTTTTTTTTGTCAAAAAAAAAAAAGGGGGGGGGGGGGGGGGGGGGGGGGGGGGGGGGGGGGGGGAAAAAAAAAAAAAAAAAAAAAAAAAGGGCCGGGGGGGGTCCCCGGGGGGGGGGGGGGGAAAAGGGGGGGGGGGGGGGGGGGGCCCCCCCGGGGGGGGGGGGCCAAAAAAACCCCCAAAAAACCCCCCCCGGGGGAAAAAGGGGGGGGGGGGGGGGGGGGGGGGGGCCCCCCCCCCCCCCCCCCCCCCCAAAAGGGGTTTTGGGGCCGGCCCTTTGGGGGGGGGGCCCCCCCCCCCCAAAAAATTTCCCCCCTTTTTCCCCTTTTTCCCCCCTTCCCTCTTTTCCTCCTCCTCTTCCCCTTTTCCTCTTCTCTTCCCTTCTTCCTCTCTCTCTCCCCTTCTCCCCCCTTTTTCCCCCTTTCTCCTTCCCTCATTCCCCTTCTCTTCCCCCCCTCTCTCCCCCCCTCTTTCCTCTCTCTTCCATCTTTTTTCCCCCCCTTCCCGGGGGAAATATGAGTATTGGAGACCCAGCCCTTTGATCGCCACTCTGAGTCACGACCTGGACCACAGAGGAGTCAACAACTCCTACATACAGAGGTAGGCTGTAATATTGTGTGTGTGTGTGTGTGTGTCTTTCTGTATGTGTGCATGTGGGTGTGCGTGTGTGTGTGTGTGTGTGTCACAGAATCTCACAGTTGTTATGTGTGCATCTCCATCAGGAGTGACCATCCCCTGGCCCTGCTCTACTGCCACTCCACCATGGAGCACCACCACTTTGACCAGTGTCTCATGATCCTCAACAGCCCAGTAAGATCACACGCGCACACACACACACACACACTTATTCATTAATTCCCTTATTCACTTAGTTACTCAGTTAGATATGCATTTATTCATTTGGAACAATAAGGCATTATTCAGCATAATGTATTTGTCAGGATGGTATTGGTGTTTCCTCATTTCTTCTTTATAGAGCTTCAGCTGCTAGTCTGTTCTGGTCTGGTCTAGTCTGGTCTAGTCTGGTCTGGTCTGGTCTAGTCTGGTCTGGTCTAGTCTGGTCTGGTCTAGTCTGGTCTGGTCTAATCTAGTCTAGTCTGGTCTAGTCTGGTCTGGTCTGGTCTAGTCTGGTCTAGTCTGGTCTAGTCTGGTCTAGTCTAGTCTAGTCTAGTCTGGTCTGGTCTAGTCTGGTCTAGTCTGGTCTAGTCTGGTCTGGTCTGGTCTAGTCTGGTCTGGTCTAATCTAGTCTAGTCTCTAGTCTGGTCTGGTCTGGTCTGGTCTAGTCTGGTCTAGTCTAGTCTAGTCTGGTCTGGTCTAGTCTGGTCTAGTCTGGTCTAGTCTGGTCTGGTCTGGTCTAGTCTGGTCTGGTCTAATCTAGTCTAGTCTAGTCTGGTCTAGTCTGGTCTGGTCTGGTCTAGTCTGGTCTAGTCTGGTCTAATCTAGTCTAGTCTGGTCTAGTCTGGTCTGGTCTGGTCTAGTTTGGTCTGGTCTGGTTTGGTCTAGTCTGGTCTAGTCTGGTCTAATCTAGTCTAGTCTAGTCTGGTCTAGTCTGGTCTGGTCTGGTCTAGTCTGGTCTAGTCTGGTCTAGTCTGGTCTGGTTTGGTCTAGTCTGGTCTAGTCTGGTCTAATCTAGTCTAGTCTGGTCTGGTCTAGTCTGGTCTGGTCTAGTCTGGTCTGGTCTGGTCTAGCTGGTTGGTCTGGGCTGTTAGTCTAGTTGGGCGGTTGGTCTGGGTTGGTCTATTGGCAGTCTGTCGAGAACCTGCTATGGTGTAATAAGCACTGTGAATAAAAGACCCCCCTTATTTTTATGGGGGACAAATTACGGAGCCCCCCCTCGGATGTATGAACAACACACACACACACACACACACACAACAACACACACACACACACACACAACCACACACACACACACACACACACAACCACAAACACAACACACACACACACACAACACAACACAAAACAAAACAAACACACAAACACACAAACAACAACACACACCACACACACACACACACACACACACATACACACACAACCACACACACACAAACACAACACACAAACAAACACAACACAAAACACAACACACAACACAACACAAACCAAAACACACACACAACACAAACACAACAAACAGAACCACACACAACACACACACAACAACACACAATACACACACACACACACACACACACACAAACACAAACACAAACACACAAACACAAACACACACACACAAACACAAACACACAAACACACACACACAAACACACACACACACACACACATACACACACACACATACACACACACAAACACAAACACACACACAAACACACACACACACCATTATACACACACATTGCAAAGATAAGGAAAACAGATCCAATTGGTGAATTGACTGTTTTTGAGTGTTGTGGATTTGTGCTGCCATGGCAACCATGATGTAGTTGAACCTAATAATGGCGCCGGAGGGAATGGCGGCTGTTTTACGGCTCCTGAACAATTGTGCTATTTTGTGTATTTCTTTGCGCTGATCTTAACTTTTTTTGTACATAATGTTTCCGCCATCGTTTCCTACGACCGAAAAGAGCTGGACATCAGACCAGCTATCACTAACATCGATTTGGATGAGGACTTCTACTTCAATGAGTTGGAGGTGAAAGACATATTGATTGTTGCGGACCAGGCCTAAATCCCCGACACTAGGAGAAGGAGGAGATGGCGCTAGAGAGGCCGGCGTGCGGGATACCTGACGAGACTACGTCGGGAGAGTGGATAAACCGCCTCTACCCTCCGTTCTATTGGCGAACGTGCAATCACTGGAGAATAAACTGGACGAGCTCCGTTCGAGACTATCCTATCAACGTGATTTGAAGAACTGTAATATCCTTTATTTCTCAGAGTCGTGGCTGAACAAGAACATGGGAAATATAAATCTAGCTGTTTTTTTTAATACATTTTCAGGACAGAACGGCTGCATCTAAGAAGGTCAGAGGAGGGGGTGTGTCTCTTTGTTAACAACAACTGGTGCGCAATCTCTAATATTAAGGACGTCTCAAGGTTTTGCTCGCCTGAGGTAGAATACCTCATGATAAGCTGTAGACCACACTATTTACCAAGAGAGTTCTCATCTATATTATTCGTAGCCGTCTATATACCACCACAAACCGATGCTGGCACTAAGATCGCACTTAACAACCTGTATATGGTCATAAGCAAACAAGAAAATGCTCACCCAGAGGCGGTGTTGCTAGGAAAAACTCAAACAGGAAGTACCAGTGATGTGCTCAATACGGAAGTGGTCTGATGCAGTGGATGCTAAGCTACAGGACTGTTTCTCTAGTACAGACTGGAATATGTTCCGGGATTCATCCGATGGCATTGAGGAGTTTGCCAAATCAGTCACCAGCTTCATTAATAAGTGCATCAACAACGTTGTCTCCACACTGACCGTACGTACATATCCCAACCAGAAGCCATTGATTACAGGCAACATCCGCACTTAGCTAAAGGCTAGAGCTGCTGCTTTCAATGAGCGGGACACTAATCCGGACGCTTATGAGCGGGACATTAACCAGTGCCCCCGCACATTGACTCGGTACCGGTACCCCCGCACATTGACTCGGTACCGGTACCCCTGCACATTGACTCGGTACCGGTACCCCCGCACATTGACTCGGTACCGGTACCCCAGCACATTGACTCGGTACCGGAAACCCCGCACATTGACTCGGTACCGGAACCCCCACACATTGACTCGGTACCGGTACCCCCGCACACTGACTCGGTACCAGTACCCCCGCACATTGACTCGGTACCGGTACCCCCGCACACCGAACCCCTGCACATTGACTCGGTACCGGTACCCCCACACATTGACTCGGTACCGGAACCCCCGCACATTGACTCGGTACCGGTACCCCGGTTTTTGGGGTATTCTTTCTTAAAACTGCATTGTTGGTTAAGGGCTTGTAAGTAAGCATTTCACTGTAAGGTCTACACCTGTTGTATTCGGCGCATGTGACAAATTACATTTGATTTGATTTGATTGTAAGAAATCCCATCAATACAGGACCAAGATTGAATCCTACTACACCGGCTCTGATGCTCGTCGGATGTGACGGGGCTTGCAAACTATCACGGATTACAAAGGGAAACCCAGCTGCGAGCTGTCCACTGATGCAAGCCCACCAGACGAGCTAAATACCTTCTATGCGTGCTTCGAGGCAAGCAACACTGAACTATGCATGAGCGCACCAGCTGTTCTGGACGACTGTGTGATCACACTCTCCGTAGCCGAAGTGAGTAAGACCTTTAAACAGGTTAACATTTACAAGGCTGCGTACTCAGAGATTGCACTGACCAGCTGGCAAATGTATTCACTGACATTTTCAACCTCTCCCTGACCCAGCCTGTAATACCTACATGTTTCAAGCAGAGCACCATAGTTCCTCTGCCCAAGAACGCCAAGGTAACCTGTCTAAATGACTATCGCCTTGTAGCACTCACATCTGTAGCCATAAAATGATTTGAAAGGCTGGTCATGGCTCATATCAACATCATCATCCCAGACACCCTGGACCCACTCCAAATCGCATACCGCCCCAACAGATCCACAGATGACGCAATCTCTATTGCACTCCACACTGCCCTTTCCAACCTGGACAAAAGGAACACCTATGTGAGAATTCTGTTCATTGACTACAGCTCAGTGTTCAACACAATTGTGCCTACACCATCACTAAGCTAAGGACTCTGGGATTAAACACCTCCCTCTGAGGCGATCGTCCTGATCACCGACGACGATGAGACAGCCTACAGGGAGGAGGTCAGAGACCTGGCAGTGTGGTGCCAGGACAACAACCTCTCCCTCAACGTCAGCAAGACAAAGGAGCTGATCGTGGACTACAGGAAACGGAGGGCCGAGTACGCCCCCATCCATATCGACGGGGCTGTAGTGGAGCGGGTCGAGAGCTTCAAGTTCCTCAGTGTCCACATCACTAAGGACCTATCATGGTATCAAACACATCAACACAGTTGTGACGAGGGTATGACAACGCCTCTTCCCCCTCAGGAGGCTGAAAAGATTTAGTATGGGCCCTCAGATCCTCAAAAATGGCTAAAGCTGCACCATTGAGAGCATCTTGACTGGCTGTGTCACCGCGTGGTATGGCAGCTGTTTGGCATCCTACCGCAAGGCACTACAGAGGGTAGTGCGTACGGCCCAGTACATCACTGGAGCCAAGCTTCCTGCCAACCAGGACCTCTATACAAGGCGGTTTCAGAGGAATGCCCTACACATTTTCTACGACTCCAGCCACCCAAGTCATAGACTGTTCTCTCTGCTACCGCACGGCAAGCGGTACCGATGCAGGTCTGAAACCAAGAGGACCCTGAACAGCTTTTACCCCAAGTTATAAGACTGCTAAATAGTTAATTAAATAGCTACCTGGAATATCTGCATTGACCCTTTTTGCAGTAATGTCTTTTGACTCATCACATACGCTGCTGTTACTGTTTATAATCTATCTTGTTGCCTAGTCACTTTATCCCTACCTAATGTATATGTACATATCTACCTCCATTTCCTCATACCCCTGCACATCGACTCAGTACTGGTCCCCCTTGTATATAGCCAAGTTATCGTTACTCATTGTGTATTTATTCCTTGTGTTATTATTTTTCATTTTATTTTCAAATTTTTCATGTGACAAATAAAATTAGAACTAGCTCAATAATTTGTAACCCCTGCCTCCCTCTCTCTGTCTCTCTCCCTCCCCCCAGGGGAATCAGATTCTAAGCAGCCTGTCTCTGGATGAGTACAAGGCCACTCTGAAGGTGATCGAGAGGGCTATTCTGGCTACGGACCTGGCTCTGTACATGAAGTAGGTACAATGTCACACACAGCTAGGACGCGCACAGAGGGGAACTGTTCAAGTCACATCTTATGCAGAGTTTTCATTAGAACTTCAATTCAGCTTGATGGGCTGTGGAAAATGTCATGGTGGAAGTTGTACCCATAGTTGGCCTATTCATTAGAAGATCTAGTGATAATGTACTGAAATGGTCATTGATTGTATCTCTCTCTATCCTCCCCCTCACACCTCTCTCCCCTTATCTCCTAATCTCTCCTCTCTCTCTCTCTCTCTTCTCCCTCCCTCTCTCTCTCCTCCTCTCTTCTCCTCTCTCTCTCTCTCTCTCTCTCTCTCTCTCTCTCTCTCTCTCTCTCTCTCTCTCTCTCTCTCTCTCTCTCTCTCTCTCTCTCTCTCCCTGTCTGAAGTGTGGGCGTATGACTAGACTGCAGACAGAAGGGGAGATAAACAGATATCAAATTAACTGCCTATATTTTCAGGAGGAGAGGAGAGTTCTTTGAACTGACCAAGAACAGCCAGTTTGTCTGGGACAATGACTACCATAAAGACTTACTGAGGTTAGTGAACACAATACATATACATCTTCACCATTCACCTGGGGACAGCTTGGTTGTGTGTCTGAATGCATATGCCGGGTCAAAATGACCTGATAATGTAATATCAGTGTTTTATTTATATGGGTCTAAAATATTATCCATTTTGTGGAACATAATTATTTTGAGTGATGATTTGGACCTTTCAATAATTATTTTATTGTTTGAAATGTTTTTAGTCGCTCTTCAACAGTTTTATACACATTTCAATGATAACATATTATGTAAATTCATAACGGCTATTGAAAATATTAGCATATTTGTCTTACAATCAATCTTACAATCAAAGTTTCATATTCAACCTTTTAGTGTGAAGAACAAAATAAAACAATTTTAAGCATGTTTTATAATATTTCAAAACATTTATTTGAAAATCTAAAGTTCATCATCAATATAAACGACAACACTAAGAGTTGTGAATTTAGAAAACATAAACACTAAAATGAACAAAATGTGTGTGTCATTACTTATGCTGTCTTAGTCCATGCATTAGTTACAAACTACAAGCATGTGACTGTGCTCTTTGCAGACGGGTGTGTTGCACTGAGAACGCCAGCAGCTGACTTTTCTATCCTTTGCACTTGGGCAAAGCTGGCACCTCTTCCTCTTCTGGTCCTGGCTGCTCTTAGTGGTGGTGGCATGGCTCTCTTTCATCACCCAACATATTTCCATTGCCTCAGTTCCTCTGTGGAGATGGGAGAACCTTCCAGAAGGACAACCATCTCTGCAGCACTCCAACAATCAGGCCTTTATGGTAGAGTGGCCAGACGGAAGCCACTCCTCAGTAAAAGGCACATGACAACCCGCTTGGAGTTTGCCAGAAGGCACCTAAAGGACTCTCAGATCATGAGAAACAAGATTCTCTGGTCTGAAGAAACCAAGATTGAACTCTTTGGCCAGAATGCCAAGCGTCACGTCTGGAGGAAACCTGCTCATCCACTGTGATGCAGTCCTCTACAATTTTCTAGGAAAAGGTCCCACACATACTGGAAGGCTGACAGGTGGTCCGTTGCCTCTCTGAACACTGGTCCTCTTGTCATCAAGCCTCAGGTAGCGACGGATATCCTCATATCCTCCGACCGACATGGTGGCCTTATACATTGGATTCTGCAGTGGATCCAAAAATAGCTCCCGTGTGGAGACATCCCAGCTTTTCTCCAAGCCGGCGAGGAGGGTTAAACCAATAAAGGCCTTTAGTTCCTCTTTGTTGACCTCTCTCCACTCTTTCCCTTTTGCTGTCACTGTTCTCCGTCCTTCTAAATTTGTACACTTTAGGACCTCCTCAATGATGTTGTCACTAATGAACAGCTCCCAGGCATCTTTTGGTGACACAACTGTTGACCCCGGCACAGGCCCTGGGCAGCTCCTCAGGATGTTATGGCTTCTGGTCCTGCCTTTAGTGGTGGGGATGTTCACTACAGTAAGACCCCTTTTTACTCAGTCTATTTGACTGGTTTTCACTCTCTTCCTCAGAGGAGTCCTCCCCACCTGTAGAATCCTCTAGGACAGCTGGACTACCAGGTGCATCCACATCTCCAACTTGACCCACAGGCACATAGTCTGTGTCATCTGAATTGGATACCTCAGATTCTAAGTAAGAGGCACCAATGGCTTCCTCATCCAGCATCTGTAAAACCATTTTGGTTGTATATCTGGCAACATTCTTATGAGCCTCCTTATGAAACTCATTTTAATCAATGAGTTAAAAAGGAGAAAGGAAAACGGTGGTTAATGAACATTAAAAACAAGATATTTAATAAATACTTATTCATTACATTGATTGTATTGTTGTAGCAAAAAGAAAGGTCAGTTTGATGAGTGCAATGCAGTGATTTATTTTTATTTATGCACTCACTAACTGTAAGTGGCTCTGGATAAGAGCGTCTGCTAAATGACTCAAATGTAAATGTAAATTAAATACATACGGGTCATATTTGACCCACGTATGACATTTTTTAAATTAAAAAATAAGAAATTAAACAACAAAACTAGGATGTTGGAACATTAAAGACACATTATTTAAGGAATTCCTGGTATATTAGATGATAAAACAATTTTTTGCGGGGGGCTCAATACAGCAAAAAAAAATCATTAGACCGGGTCATTTTGACCCGGCATATGCATCCTAGGGTTAAAAAAGTACAAAGTGTTTGTTAGGTGTTAAGCCCGTGCTAAAATATGCTTAAAATGATTAAAAGACAAAACAACGATTGTGATTGTGTTGAATTGTGTTTGGGAAATAAAGATAGACATGGTTTTAAAAAGGTAGTGGTAATATTTAATTCAGTACAGAAATGTGTAGGCGGCTGAACTTACCCTGTCCCGTGGCTCAACACACCCCATACCCGGGGTAAATTGTGCCAAGAGACCACCTTTTTGGGACAAGCTATGTTTTCAAAACTGTCATGTTTACATTAATTCTGATTATTTCCACATGCTGAAAGATATGTAGATATCTTTGCTAGAAACAATACTATACAGTGGGGAGAACAAGTATTTGATACACTGCCGATTTTGCAGGTTTTCCTACTTACAAAGCATGTAGAGGTCTGTAATTGTTATCATAGGTACACTTCAACTGTGAGAGACGGAATCTAAAACAAAAATCCAGAAAATCACATTGTATGATTTTTAAGTAATTCATTTGCATTTTATTGCATGACATAAGTATTTGATACATCAGAAAAGCAGAACTTTATATTTGGTACAGAAACCTTTGTTTGCAATTACAGAGATCATACGTTTCCTGTAGGTCTTGACCAGGTTTGCACACACTGCAGCAGGGATTTTGGCCCACTCCATACAGACCTTCTCCAGATCCTTCAGGTTTCGGGGCTGTCGCTGGGCAATACGGACTTTCAGCTCCCTCCAAATATGTTCTATTGGGTTCAGGTCTGGAGACTGGCTAGGTCACTCCAGGACCTTGAGATGCTTCTTACGGCGCCACTCCTTAGTTGCCCTGGCTGTGTGTTTCGGGTCGTTGTCATGCTGGAAGACCCAGCCACGACCCATCTTCAATGCTCTTACTGAGGGAAGGAGGTTGTTGGCCAAGATCTCGCGACACATGGCCCCATCCATCCTCCCCTCAATACGGTGCAGTCGTCCTGTCCCCTTTGCAGAAAAGCATCCCCAAAGAATGATGTTTCCACCTCCATGCTTCACGGTTGGGATGGTGTTCTTGGGGTTGTACTCATCCTTCTTCTTCCTCCAAACACGGTGAGTGGAGTTTAGACCAAAAAGCTCTATTTTTCTCTCATCAGACCACATGACCTTCTCCCATTCCTCCTCTGGATCATCCAGATGGTCATTGGCAAACTTCAGACGGGCCTGGACATGCGCTGGCTTGAGCAGGGGGACCTTGCGTGCGCTGCAGGATTTTAATCCATGACGGCGTAGTGTGTTACTAATGGTTTTCTTTGAGACTGTGGTCCCAGCTCTCTTCAGGTCATTGACCAGGTCTTGCCGTGTAGTTCTGGGCTGATCCCTCACCTTCCTCATGATCATTGATGCCCCACAAGGTGAGATCTTGCATGGAGCCCCAGACCGATGGTGATTGACCCCCATCTTGAACTTCTTCCATTTTCTAATAATTGCGCCAACAGTTGTTGCCTTCTCACCAAGCTGCTTGCCTATTGTCCTGTAGGCCATCTCAGCCTTGTGCAGGTCTACAATTTTATCCCTGATGTCCTTACACAGCTCTCTGGTCTTGGCCATTGTGGAGAAGTTGGAGTCTGTTTGATTGAGTGTGTGGACAGGTGTCTTTTATACAGGTAACGAGTTCAAACAGGTGCAGTTAATACAGGTAATGAGTGGAGAACAGGAGGGCTTCTTAAAGAAAAACTAACAGGTCTGTGAGAGCCGGAATTCTTACTGGTTGGTAGGTGATCAAATACTTATGTCATGCAATAAAATGCAAATTAATTACTTAAAAATCATACAATTTTTGCTTTAGATTCCGTCTCTCACAGTTGAAGTGTACCTATCATAATTACAGACCTCTACATGCTTTGTAAGTAGGAAAACCTGCAAAATCGGCAGTGTATCAAATACTTGTTCTCCCCACTGTATTTCCCTTGATGGAGTGATGCTGAATGTAAAAAATGGCTCAACTTTACCCACTCTCTTGCCCAACTTGTCCAACAATATGCTGGTGTGTCACCCCTTGTAGGTCAATGTTGATGACTGCCTGTGACATCTCTGCCATTACCAAGCCCTGGCCAGTACAGAAGAGGGTAAGTGAAAAGTGGGATCACGTTCACTAGACTCAAGACTCACTTCATAAACTCAACTGTGTTCTTGTTGCTGCTATCTCCTTTGATGTTCTTTCAAAACGTTTCCCTCTCACCATTCTCCTCCTTTTTGAGTACCCCTCCCTTTTCTTTTCCCTCCTTAGATTATGTTCTCTTTCTTCTATTCCCCGTGTCACTTCAACTCCCCTGTGCAAGTCTCTACCTCCTGTTCCTCATCAAGCTCCCTAGGTGCAATGGAAGGAGAGGTTCAGACAAGCCTCTAACCGTGTGTGTGTGTGTGTGTGTGTGTGTGTGTGTGTGTGTGTGTGTGTGTGTGTGTGATCAAAGAGCTCTAGAACTCTTCTTAGAGGAGGATAGACACACACAGTTCTAGAACCAGACACAGTTGTAGAATCAGAAACCTGTTCTAGAACCAGAAACAGCTCTAGAACCAGACAGTTGTAGAACCAGAAACCTGTTCTAGACCCAGACACAGCTCTAGACCCTGACACAGCTCTAGAACCAGACACAGTTGTAGAACCAGAAACCTGTTCTAGACCCAGACACAGCTCGAGACCCTGACACAGCTCTAGAACCAGACACAGTTGTAGAACCAGAAACCTGTTCTAGACCCAGACACAGCTCGAGACCCTGACACAGCTCTAGAACCAGAAACAGTTGTAGAACCAGAAACCTGTTCTAGACCCAGACACAGCTATAGACCCAGACACAGCTCTAGAACCAGAAACAGCTCTAGAACCAGAAACAGTTGTAGAACCAGAAACCTGTTCTAGACCCTGACACAGCTCTAGAACCAGAAACAGTTGTAGAACCAGAACCCGGTTCTTGAACCAGACACAGTTCTAGACCCAGACACATCTCTAGACCTATCCTCTCCTCAGGTCCTCACATAATACATACATAACTGACAGAGCTAGTGAGTACCTCTGCACCTCCAGAAGACACACACACACACAATGCAATTCACACACACATAGGAAATCTGTGCACACACACACACACATACACCAACAAACACAAAGTCTCTTTCACACACATACAAAGTTTTTTGTTGAGCTCAGTAGATCTTATTATTAGAGCGGATACTACATCAGCCAAGCTGTGTACAAAAATGTGTCTTCTCCTTCTCTCCTCTTCTCCCCCGCGTTCTCTCCGTTCCTCAGCTGAACCCCCCTTCCGGCTCTCTAGTCTTGATTACACAGCTCCAATCAGTGTTCTGCAGATGGCTACCACACACACACACACACTTCCTTGATTGGTAACCCGAAGCTGTAGGCAGTCTTCATTTATCCTTTGTAAAGAGAAAGAGTCCATCAACGCAGTATGGTTGCTGCTCAGTTAGCAGAACTTTCTCTCTCTCTTTTCTCTCATTCCCATGTTACAAATGTCAGGGAATACTTTGTAGGATACTGAGCACTATTGCGGGGTATCTGATACAATTGGCAGTGGATACGTTTTTTTCTTTTTCACATAACAGGAGGCTGCCTATCCAACCTGAACCCCCTCTCAACCTGCTCATATCACATTCATGGAAACACCGACATTGAAATTCATAGATATCTGCAAAAGACATGAATATTTAAAAACCCTGGACAACAGATTGGCTTAAGTATTTATTCAGATACAATCATAGGGTTGTAGTCGAACAGACTGTGGCTGTTGAAAGACTACAAGGTTACAAATCCAATTTGTCCTTTACCCAATTGAAACAACATTCCACTTTGAGGCACTTTTAAGAGCTCCGTTTCTTTCTGTCTTTCTGGTCTCTTTCCATCTTCTCTTGCAGATAGCCGAGTTAGTAGCTACAGAGTTCTTTGAGCAAGGGGACAAGGAGAGACAAGAACTCAACATTGAGCCAATAGTAAGCACCTCTTCTGTTCCCTACCATCTTTACTTACACTTTTACACTGCTGCGGTTGATCCATTGCCATTGAAAATCAGGGTTTGTGAAATGTAATTACAAGGCTCCAAGATTCTGATTTGTAATATCTGATTTTAATATCTTGGCATGTGCACATGTTGGCTTTGTGCAAAGCCAGGTTTTTACTAGTTGGCAAGTAAAGCCACATATCAATGTGGGAGCAAATTAGATTTGGACTGAAGTTGGTTTTGTAAAGTTGGTTTTCTTTCCTAGGATCTGATGAATCGGGAAAAGCAGGATAAGATTCCGAGCATGCAGGTGTCGTTCATCGATACCATCTGTACACAGCTGTATGAGGTGAGGCTATGAAATGATTGATTGGTCTTTATTAGTCATGTTTAGGAAACATTTTATTGGCCATATAGCATGTATAGTCCCGTGTAGCTCTGCTGGTAGAGCATGGCGCTTGCAACGCCAGGGTTGTGGGTTCGATGAAAATGTATGCACTCACTACTGTAAGTCGCTCTGGATAAGAGCGTCTGCTAAATTACGTAAATGTTTAAATGTTAATGTATGACATTGACACAATGAAGGTACTCTCTCATTCTGTCATACTCTCTCTTTCTCTCTGTCCATCAGACCCTGGCCGGTATGTCTGAATCCTGTTCCCCACTACTCGAGGGCTGCCAGAAGAACAGACAGAAATGGAAGATTCTGGCTGAACAGGACGACAAACGCTTCTTCAACGGAGCGGTGTAGACCTGTTTAACGTCTCTCCTCCGTCCCTACTATCACGCCATCCCTCCACCACCCTGAGAAGGCGACATCAACACTAAGCTATATTTATTACCATAGTCTTTTTTTTCTTTCTTTTTTTTGCACAAAGTCAACTTGCTACATGAAGGAGGAGTCACTATATTATATCTCTAACGGTCTGAGGAAGGGAAGATCACTGAAGAGGAGAAACAAGTGGTGTGTGTGTGGCTACTATCGGCCTACTGAGCACCAATCAATCAATATGCCACCAGAGAACAGACAGACCTGGGTTCAAATAGTATTTGAAATCTCTCAAATATTTTGAGCCTGCCTAGAGTGCCAGATAGATTTGTACTTCTTTTGGACTATTGCATTCGTTCCATTGCACCAGGCAAGCTCAATGATAGATTACAAATACTATTTGAACCCAGGTCTTAGTATAGATACAACTTACTTTCTACACACCGTACAGCACCACAATAAGTAGCTTGTTAGTAATACCAGCGGGAACTCACACACCACAAACTCACAATACAAAGGTTTTGAGAGAACTTTCATCTTTTGTAACAGTCACTCGTCTTAACTATTGCATATTTATTTGTTTTATATATTTATTCGATTTCTATACTGTAAGGTCAGTTTCATGTTGAGAACACACACGTCTTTTAGATTTAAAAAAAGTTTTATTACCAAATGTCTGCTTTGAAATCTTTACTAGCCTATCCATTCACACGTGTATTTTTACACGTTGCGTTATTATTTGAACTTTGTAAATTTTAAAGGATCCAAAGACTTGACGTGTGTTCTAGAAGATTCCACTGCCATCCTGTGACATGATAGGTGTGATTCACATTTCCAAAATAAGCCGTTTGTATGTACAGCAGAGGCGGCAGGTGGGAGGAGCTACAGGAGGACCGTCTCATTGTAATGGCTGGAATATAATTAATGGAACGGTATCAAACACATCAAACACATAGAAACCTCATAGAAATGAGTCCATCCTCCTATAGCTCCTCCCACCAGCCTCCTCTGATGCACAGATCATTCACACATCATAATATACTATAGTAGTTATCAGGTACAGATACGTGCACTGCATCACTGTCATTCACATGAGAAACTCACATTTGACTTAACCTTGTCCAAACTGCAGCACTTTTCTATTTGTAGATGTACGCGGTCACTCTAAGGACCACTGTCGTTACTGTGGTTTTATTGTGTACTTAAAGAAGTCTCCGTAACTGTGTACTTGTACACCTGTTCCTGTGCTTAAAAAAAAAATGAGGTGAGTCGCTTTTCTGGTTCCAATTCCACAATGCTTTGGTGTCTGATTTGTCAGAACAGATGATAATGTGTTGCTTCTCCATCAATGATAGACCTGTGTGTTGCATGTGAAGACTACTGCACCTTTAAAAGATGACCATGTACAGCCACAGTATAGTCAAGTGACATGACAGGACCTGTTGGTTGTTAGTGGAGGCTGAGGTAATATGACATGCAGAAAGGGTTTCCCCTATAGAAATACAATCTAGATTCTATCTATATGGTTCCCCCCCCTCCTGTTCTTGTTGAATGGTACATCCCATTAAAGGACACTGCTTCTTTTCTATGTGCTCGGTCATCTGTGCAAACTTTGGATATAACATCACACTGGTCTAAATATATGTTATGTCGCCACCACCTGGTCAATCGCAGTGGTAAAACACAGACAAGACTTGAGGATGATCAAATGGATACGTTCATATATTTTGGGAATATTTCTTAAAAATACAACACATAAACCACTAGCTTCTAAAACAGTGAGGCTCAGAACTGGATGAAAAGGTAAAGTTCAAAAGGAAAGTAAATGCATTGTACCAAAAGGGATCAGTGACAATATTGACATCAAAGCAGTGAGCCAGGAAGAACAAGGCGAAACACAGAAAGAGACAGGACAGACTAACCGGTATATTTTGGACTAGACATGTAAAGAAAGATTTAACGAGAGAGAGAGGGAGAGAGACATGCGTGGCAGAGGTAGGAAAGGGAAGTGTAATATTTAGTTTTTCAAGCCATTGTGCGCATTTGAGATTGCGGTCAGCCACTGCAGACTGACCTACAAAATCACATTGAATCCTAAATTACTACGGATTATGATTTGTAGATCAGTTGTAGTCAATCTCCAATGTGCCCATTGTATTCTGCAGGGAAGAGGAGACAATGAGAGGTAACTATGTACAGGGGGTAGTAGGTTAGAGGTCAAGGTTCTAGGTTCTAGGCTGAGTCGGCCCTCTTGTAGGCCACCATGCTGTTGACCTTGTGGATAGAGGTGGTGAAGGAGCGCAGACGAACCTCCTCCGATTGGTCGATTATCTGGGGGCCCGACTCCTCCCATTTGTCGGGCACCTCCAGGTCCTTGTCGGTGTAAACGAGGAGGTCAAAGGCACCTGGGGAGAGGGGTCAAAGTTCAGGTGTTAATCAAGGAGCATCAGGAACATTTCTGTTAGGAAAAATATGTGCCGGTCAAATGTCAGATCAGATTTTAGAAGACAAAATATAAACTCATTTGAATGAAGTCACCATAAACACCAGCTGTAAGTGACTGATGAAAATTAATACCCTTTAGAAATTAGGCACGGAGGAATGAGCCTACCAAGTGAACATTGGCTTCTTGCACAATGCACGTCTCCCTCTATCTGGCTTGTCAATATCCTTTGTTTGTGTCTATTTATTTTCCCACTTGTATATGCCTCCATCCTTGGTACAGTAGCGAGTAAACTAACTAGCTTGATTTATAGGAAGTTTGCTTAACCTTCTCCACTGCGGTCCCGTCGATATGGATAGGGGGGTGCACCCTCTGCTGTTTCCTGAAGTCCACAATCATCTCCTTTGTTTTGTTGACATTGAGTGAGAGGTTATTTTCCTGGCACCACACTCCCAGAGCCCTCACCTCCTCCCTGTAGACTGTCGGTAATCAAGCCTACTACTGTTGTGTCGTCTGCAAACTTGATGATTGAGTTGGAGGCGTGTTTGGCCACGCAGTCATGGGTGAACAGGGAGTACAGGAGGCGGCTGAGCACGCAACCATTGTGTGGCCCCAGTGTTGAGGATCAGCGAAGTGGAGGTGTTGTTTCCTACCTTCACCACCTGGGAGCAGCCCTTCAGGAAGTCCAGGACCCAGTTGCAGGGAACACTTCCCGCGTGCATACAACTGTCTGTCACTGACACGGGAACATTTGCGGGCCGGTACCAGTTGATACAATGAGCTCAAGACAGACAGGCAGGCAGAGTAGAGATATAATTTGATTGAAAGACAACCTGAACCAACCTCTCTGCATAGCAAAAGTGATTTATAAAATGTCTTTATTTTCATCAGGATATTTGCTGAGCCACAATGTGTCCGGATTTTTTTTTATTTGTCGGCTTTAGCAGGCAATTAACGGCCAATGGAAACACTGGTTCTCACACACACACACACACACACACACACACACACACACACACACACACACTACTCACAGGAAGACTCCAGCAGGGGTAGGAAGGTGACAGTGGCAGTGATCTGTCTGATGACTGAGCGAATCTCATCCTGGATGGATTTGATGGACTTCTCCCTGGGAGCGCTGAGAGAAGAGACACAAAAAGGCTTTCACAGTTATTCTCAAAGTCAAACCATGTTGAACTATTGGTCTGGCGTGTTAGGATAAGTCGACATTGGAAACTAGTGAAATATCAAATGCAACATCATACTCAAAGGGCATAAACTGACCATCTTCATAAAAAGTACCCTCACTCTCAAGTATGACTTCGTGTTACGATTGAGCTGGTTAGGAAAAGCACTAAAATGCTACAAATAGTCCGCAATGTTCTAAGTAGTGGTGTGAATGTGGGTATTTGTGTGTGTGTGTGTGTGTGTGTGTGTGTGTGTGTGTGTGTGTGTGTGTGTGTGTGTGTGTGTGTGGTAGTCAGGTCCACTGCTGGCATATCCTACAGTACCTGATCTCCTTGGCACTCTTGTCACACTCAATGTCAAACTGCCACCGCTCCAGCACCTCATTGGTCTCCAAACATGTGATCACAAGAACCAGCTTCTGCACTGTGCAGTCAAACAGCCACTCTGCAATACAAAGACACAAGTCAGTCAAACAGCCACTCTGCAATTCAAAGACAATTTATTCAAACAGCCACTCTGCAATACAGAGACACAAGTCAGTCAAACAGCCACTCTGCAATACAAAGACAATTTATTCAAACAGCCACTCTGCAATACAGAGGCAAGTTAGTCAAACAACCGCTCTGCAATTTGCACACCCAACTACAGTAGAAACAGATAGTGGTGGAAAAAGTACTAAGTTTTCATACTTGAGTAAAAGTAAAAAGATACCTTCATAGAAAATTACTCAAGTAAAAGTGAAAGGCATCCAGTAAAATAGTACTTGAGTAATCGTCTAAAAGTATCTGGTTTTAAATGTACTTAAGTACAGTGGTGGAAAAAGTACTCAATTGTCATACTTGAGTAAAAGTACAAAGTTAAAGTAAATACTATACATAAAATTCCTTATATTAAGCAAACCAGATGGCACGATTTTCTTGTTTTTTATTTATTCATGGTCAGCCAGGGGCACACTCCAACACTCAGACATTATTTACAAACACAGTATTTGTGTTTAGTGAGTCCGCCAGATCAGAGGCAGTAGGGATGACAACGCGTTATATTGATAGGTGTGTGAATTGGACCATATTGCTGTCCTGCCTGAGTATTTGAAATGTAACGAGTACTTTTTGGTGTCAGGGAAAATGTATGGAGTAAAAAGTACATTATTTTTAGGAATGTAGTGGAGTAAAAGTAAAAGTTGTCAAAAATATAAGTAGTAAAGTACAGATACCCCAAAAAACTACTTAAGTAGTACGTTAAAGTACTTTTACTTAAGTACTTTACACCAATGGAAACAGACATACTGGTAACACATTGATAAAAATTGTGAAAATCAACACACCAAGTTGTGAAATATGACACCTCATTTGACCTTGTCAAATTGTGAGAAATAACACACAGGGCTAATAGCCACACAAGTGACTGCAGCATAGGCCAGATAGTCGTCCTCTAAAGTCCTGTATCTTGTTTGAATACACAGATGGCTGTCCTGTCCCCCGCCCCCCATATATTATAACGTTCTGCGCATGTGCTACATTACATTGAGTTTATTTCATACTGTACCTTTGAGCTGTGATACCACGTTGGTCAGGTAGTTTTTCAGCTGTGTGTCAGTGGTGAGTTGAAGGCTCATGTCATACTGGGTGACTCGGGAGAACGTCTCCGGAGGGTAGATCCCTCGCTGGTACAGGATGCTGTTGATACCGAATGCTGAAGCCAAGGGACAGAAATAGGTTAACTAAGTTACGACCACGGACTAGGTCCTCTGTAGCTCAGCTGGTAGAGCACGGCGCTTGTAACGCCAAGGTAGTGGGTTCGATCCCCGGGACCACCCATACACAAAAATGTATGCACGCACGACTGTAAATCGCTTTGGATGAAAGCGTCTGCTAAATGGCATATTATTATATTATTATTAGCTAGCTAACTAACTAGTAAGAATATTGTTGTCTCAATCATGCATGAAGGTGCAAAATAACAAACGTATGTATCTATTAGCGTAGCAAACTCACATGTAAGGACATAAATATATTACTTATCGTCATGGAAAATACGGATGCGATGGTTGTAAACAATGTTAGTTAGCTAGCTTCCGCAGAGAAAACCATCGCCATGTTCAAGTTGCATGCCTTTCCTTTTTGATCAGTCGCAAAAGCGGCCAAAATAGTCGGTGAAATACTTACAGAAAAACTCGGCCACAAGCTCAGCGCTTCCTTTCAGGGTAATACCTTTCAGTGTGCTCGTCATCTTTGCACGTTTTAGTTATATCCTTTTATTGTATTGTATTTTCTCGTCTGATTTTTTTTTTAACCCGCCGCCAAAGTTTGAAATTTGCAAGACGTTAAACTTCCGCGCATGCGTTTTACAACCTCGCAGACTTGATAACGTATTCAACAATGTTGCCATTATGACGCTAGAGGGCGATGTTTTGCTAGACCTGGACATGTACAATCTGCAGATAATTCTTAATCGATTCTATTATAAAAGTAGACATAGCATATTATGTTATGACAAGTACAAGCTTTTCTAATCTTACATACTCAACCATCCTATGCTTTCTAACAATGTTCTTACTCTATTACAACACTTTTTGTAGGCCTGCAGACCAATAGTGTTGTTGTTTTTATCGCACTGCTTTGCTTTATCTTGGCCAGGTCGCAGTTGTAAATGAGAACTTGTTATCAACTGGCTTACCTGGTTAAATAAAGGTGAAATAAAAAATAAATAAAAATGTACTGTTGAGATTTAGAATAATAGAATACACAAGGTGCAATTTCTAAATGTTATTCTGCATAAGCAGTCACTCAATTAGCCCATGTCAGCTAAATGTTTTTAGATTGTTAAGTTAGTCTAGCGGCCAGCTATCTAAACTGGTAGTAAGCATGGTGGAATTACCAGCTGGGGTGGGGCCCATTAATCATCAGTTATTATATTAAAAACTGCAAACATTTGCCTTCACCTTACGGCAAAATGTGTAGAATTGCAGGAAATTAGCTGTTAAACTGCAGATTTTTCTCTCCGCTCCATGGTAAAATGAGTAGAATTGCATGAAGTGAGTTATAAAATAGCAAAATGTGTAGAATTGCCGGAAACTTGCTTTAAAACAGCTACATTCTCTCTACGCCCCATGGCAAAATGTGCAGAATTGCAGGACATGTTATTTATTTATTTTTGTATGGATGTGTGTACGCAGACCAATGAGCCACTGCGGCCCCTCATATAAAATATAATATGCCATTTAGCAAACGCTTTTATCCAAAGCGACTTACGGTCGTGTGTGCATACATTTTTACCTATGGGTGGTCCCGGGGATCGAACCCACTACCCTGGCGTTACAAGCGCCATGCTCTACCAATTGAGCTACAGAGGACTCATGATGAGTTCTATTTTTTTGTGGCCCCCACCCCCATCGAAGTTACCCATCCCTGATCTACAAGTATAGGCCCCCGGAAAAGGTATTATGACTTTCTTTTGAGGTATAGCAATAATGCTGCCACAGTTAATTGTGAATATGGAAGGATCCCTTTACCCTATCCTCAGCTGCATGCCTTTGAGCACTACTTTCAGTTGTTTTACTTTAGATATTAGCTACAAGACACCATCAAGTGAAAAACCATATGTGCAGCAGTCTTACATATTTCCAGCGATAACTATATAATCTGCCAGATTTCATGACACTGTTGAGGAATAATGTCACACCTGCAAATGGTGCCACTCCTGCTGTTGTGTATGGAAAGCACTTGCTACTTCCTGCCAACGGTACTGTAGGAAACCTATACAGGCTATAAGCCTAACAGCGAAGCCATCTGTTGCACAGTATTCACACATTGGCTGTAACCACATGTATTTTCCCTACCGCAGGCATGATTTTCTCATTCATCATCCTTTTAAACAGTTATTAACGTTCTGTGAACGTCCATACAAGGGAATAGAACACAAAAGCCTATTAACTGAATGCAGGCTTTATGAGGTGCAGAATACACCATAGCAGGGTTGTGTTTGTATGTAAACTATAGCCCATAACCTGTCCCCACTCCAGGCGCTCCCCAGTGTGTCAGCAAAGGTTACCTAGCCTCGGCTCGTGTACAGTACACGAGGGAAAGGACCTGGTAAAAACCTAACAGATGCCACAGGTTAGCTGTGACAAAGCTTACTTTACCAATAAGTGGAGAGGTTATATACTTGGATCAGGAGTTTTTCCTGGTCAGGTCATGTATTCAAGAAAAGCGCCTGGCCCTATACTAAGAAGCCCTATACTAAGAAGCCCTATACTAAGAAGCCCTATACTAAGAAGCCCTGTACTAAGAAGCCCTGTACTAAGAAGCCCTATACTAAGAAGCCCTGTACTAAGAAGCCCTGTACTAAGAAGCCCTGTACTAAGAAGCCCTGTACTAAAAAGCCCTGTACTAAGAAGCCCTGTACTAAGAAGCCCTATACTAAGGAGCCCTATACTAAGAAGCCCTGTACTAAGAAGCCCTGTACTAAGAAGCCCTGTACTAAGAAGCCCTGTACTAAGAAGCCCTGTACTAAGAAGCCCTATACTAAGGAGCCCTGTACTAAGAAGCCCTGTACTAAGAAGCCCTTTACTAAGAAGCCCTATACTAAGAAGCCCTGTACTAAGAAGCCCTGTATTAAGAAGCCCTATACTAAGGAGCCCTATACTAATAAGCCCTGTACTAAGAAGCCCTGTACTAAGAAGCCCTATACTAAGAAGCCCTATACTAAGAAGTCAGCCATTTTGAAACTACACTAGTAATTAGAGTTTTTTTCTAAATAGACCTACAATGCAACAAAGTCCTCACAGTTCTGTTTTATTTTGAACAGTCTCTGCTTTAAATGAGCAAATATTGGATAACTTTCCATTGACGATTAAAAAAATGTTTGGTGGTCCTCCCTCTGGTCTTTAACAGTATTGGCCAAGCGGTGCTTTGAGTTTGTTCCAATCCCAAACCACTGAATAACCAACCAAAGGGCTGTCATTTTCTCAAGATTTCATATTGTGCAATCAAACTGTTCAATAGTTTTATCCAAGAACCTCAGCACCAGTGTTACATTTCACAGGAGAGACTGTGGTTGCTGGCCCTCTCAAGAGTAAAAGTTATACTGTTTCACAAAAAGCGCTTTGCTTCTCTCTTTTGGGTGTCAGCTAGTCTTTTCAATCGCTTACTTGTGTTGAGTTAAACAACATAATTCAAGTATAATTACTCCCCTTTTTACATGCAAATGTGTAGAATGAAAGCGTGCAATTGGCATGCTGACTGCAGGAATGTCCACCAGAGCTGTTGCCAGATAATTGACTGTTCATTTCTCTACCATAAGCCGTCTCAAACATCGTTTTAGAGAATTTGGCAATATGTCCAACCGGCCTCACAACCACAGACCATGTGTAACCACGCCAGCCCAGGACCTCCACATCCGGCTTCTTCACCTGCGGGATCATCTGAGACCAGCCACCCGGACAGCTGATAAAACTGTGGGTTTGCACAACGGAATAATTTCTGCACAAACTGTTAGAAACCGTCTCAGAGAAGCACATCTGCGTGCTCGTCATCCTCACCAGGGTCTTGGCCTGACTGCAGTTCGGCGTCGTAACCGACTTCAGTGGGCAAATGCTTACCTTCGATGACCACTGGCACGCTGGAGAAGTGTGCTCTTCACGGATGAATCCCGGTTTCAACTGTACCTGGCAGATGGCAGACGTGTGGGCAAGCGGTTTGCTGATGTCAACGTTGTGAACAGAGTGCCCCATGGTGGTGGTGGGGTTATGGTATGGACAGGCATAAGCTATGGACAACGAACACAATTGCATTTTATCGATGGCAATTTGAATGTACAGAGTTACCGTGACGAGATCCTGAGGCCCATTGTCGTGCCATTCATCCGCCTCCATCACCTCATATTTCAGCATGATAATGCATGGCTCCATGTCGCAAGGATCTGTACACAATTCCTGGAAGCTGAAAATGTCCCAGTTCTTCCATGGGCTACATACTCACCACACGTCACCCATTGAGCATGTTTGGGATGCTCTGGATCGACTTGTACAACAGCGTGTTCCAATTCCCACCAATATCCAGCAACTTTGCACAGCCATTGAAGAGGAGTGGGACAACGTTCACAGGCCACAATCAACAGCTTGATCAACTCTATGCGAAGGAGATGTGTCACGCTGCATGAGGCAAATGATGATCACACCAGATACTGACTGGTTTTCTGATCCACACCCCTACCTTTTTCTTAAGGCATCTGTGACCAACAGATGTATATCTGTATTCCCAGTCATGTGAAATCCATAGATTAGGGCCTAATGAATTAATTTCAATTGACAGATTTCCTTAAATGAACTGTAACTCAGTAAAATTGTTGCATGTTACGTTAATATTTTATTTGCATATGTGTGTTAATGTGTGGTTACACCAAAATCTGTAAATCCAAAAAAACATAAAAATCCCAGCAACCAATGACATTCGAGGTGTGAGGTGTTAAGTTTGCATGCTGATTATATGCTGTCAGCATACAGTAGAAGGAAGTGTTTGTAGCAAATTCCTCCTCCGAGGCGTTAACAGAGAGAGATGAGAGAGATGGAGGGAGAGAGAGAGAGAGAGGAGGAGGGAGAGATGGAGGGAGTGAGAGAGAGATGGAGGGAGTGAGAGAGAGATGGAGGGAGGTGAGAGAGAGATGGAGGGAGTGAGAGAGAGATGGAGGGAGTGAGAGAGAGATGGAGGGAGTGAGAGAGAGATGGAGGGAGTGAGAGAGATGGAGGTAGTGAAGAGGATGGAGGTAGCGAGAGATAGATTGATGGAGTGAGAGAGAGATGAGGTAGTGAGAGAGATGATTTGGAGGAGTGAGAGCAGAGTTGGAGTGAGCGAGAGAGATGGGGGTTGAGCGAGAGAGAGATGGAGGGAGCGAGATAGATCTGGAGGGAGCGAGAGAGAGATGGAGGGAGTGAGAGAGAGAGGAGGGAGTGAAGAGAGACTGGAGGAGTGAGAGAGAGATGGAGGGAGTGGAGAGAGGGGCTGGGAAGTCAGGCTTAGAGGTAACTCTCACTCTAGTGACGGACGTGCACACTTACCCTCCTGGCATTTTGCCTGTGTTCCCTAGCGCTCCAAAAGCAACAGCTGGAATTTAACCCTCTAACACTTCTCTTATTAATGGTCACTACATACGATCCAGTGGCGGACTGTTAATGTCATATAAGGTCTCTCCTTTTCAAACAAAGCCTTTCTCTTCACTGTCTACTCAGGCTCCGTCCCACACTCTCTTCCCCAGTGAAACTCGATCCCTCCACTTGCAGCCGATGGTTCTAAACCGTCTCCTTGGCCAGGCCACGTTGTGTCTCGACCTTGCCTTTCTTGTCACGGTGCACCGCG